GCAAGTTATTTTTCTTGACCGGGCCCGCGTTTGAGCTTACGATTGTCCCACTTTGACCTAAAAATGTCTGTCGTGTGTTATACATGACTATTGGAGAGAAGGGATTAATCCTTAAATTGACTCTCCTATTAAATAAAATGTGCTTTTTATAAATACGAAATTATCGATCATCGAACCTACGCTCTTTTTCTATCCAAAGCAAAGTCATGGTCACATTCTCATTCAACAAGATCTTTTTGCATCACAATAAGGTCACAGTTCATGTAGCTGTTGATTTGTTATCGTTAGGCTCTTCTCATCAATCTTTTTCATGCTTTGGCCATCATACTCTGAAGTCGAATCAGCAATATACGCTCATCCCCATCCTCATGTGATTATCTTAATATCACCACTAAATAATATTTCTGTTCTATTTGTTAGTTTGGAGGTGGATACCAACCTCCGTCCGGCGAGGAGCTCCGACGAGCTCAGAGATGACGCAGGCGAAGTCGAAGGCGAACCCCCAGGCGAACGCGACCCTCGGTTGATGGCGAACGTGACCCTCAGCGTTGAGCGGCTCGACCCTCGCGTCTGCCGACCTCAGCGTCTGGCGCTCCCACATCCGCGTCCGAGCAACCGCTGGCGACAAGCTGTCGCCAGCCTGTCATCGATTCTCCTATAAAAGAAACCCGATGCCCTAGGGTTTTGTTGGCTTTTTTCTCCCCCGACTTTTCTCTGGCGGCGGCGGAAAACCCCAAAACGCAGCAGCGTTCTTTCTCTCAAATCGCAGCAGCGATTTTAATCCCCAGCCTTCAACAGTGGTTGAGGGGGATTTAAGAAGAGAGAGAAAAGTGAAGAGGGTATTTATTGTGGGTATTAACACTGTAGCTACAGTGTTCTTTAGAGAGATCTCATATTTGATCTGCTCCTAAATTGTAATTTCTTGTTTGATTAATAAGAAATTGACTGTGTGGCTCCTGAGGACGTAGGCAGTTGCCGAACCTCGTAAATCTTGTGTATTGTTCTCTATTCTGCGTTTATGTTGCATTAGGGGTTTAGGCGTTTAATTCCCAACACTATTTTCTCGTCAGAATGGAGTCACAAATTCACAAACATTATAATCAATATGTTAAACCAATCTCTTTTAAAAGTTTGCATTCTTGCTTACCCACCCAATTTCGGTCCGTATTAAAGTTAGGATTAGATTTCATTTAGGGGGATTAGTCATCTAGAACTTAAAACTGGAACTGAGATAATTTGTGAGATAAATTTTTAAGGTGTTAATCATATAGAACTAGAAAATTGGATATTTTTTTATAGTGTTAGTCAAGTAGAACTTTTGTAGAACTAGAACTGTATTATTTTTTTGGTGCGTTAGTCAAGTAGAATTCTACTAGAATTAGAATTGGGATAATTGGTCGTAATTATCCTACAAATTATACTACCTATATATATAACCATAAGTTCTCATCTCTCAAATTATCCCACACATTGGAAAGAATACAATTGGGAAAAAAAATAAAACGCCGCCTCCCTCCCTCTTGGTTAGTTTCTCCACCTAGAAAATTTCTCTGCCATGAAGTCAATCATCTGTTCATTTTTCTGTCTTTACTTTGTTTTTATGATGATTAGATCTTTTATTATTATCTTCAAGATGTATTACTTTATTGATAGCTTTTTGACGTAAAATTACTTTATTATTATTTGTTTGATCTAAGTTTTCTCTCCACAACAGTGGTTTAGGTTAAGAATATAGTGTTGGTGGGTTAGTGCTAAAGATATACGGGCTATTTATGTTTTTTTATAAGTTAGAAAGCAACTTTGAGATCACATTGATGATTAAATTTGAATGGTTAATGGTGATATCTATTATTATTAAATCGGCTCAGTAAACTGATTGGGATATTTATAGTTCATCTATCGGTCATCTGTTTAGCGGTCATAGATGATTCCTGTGTACATTTCATTTATTTGCTGATTTGGTTTCAGCGATCATGATGAGATTGGTCCAAAGGGTTAATGGATGAAAAATGATTATTTTTCTTTCTTTATGATGTTATGAGATTTGAACTTCGACATTTATGATCCTTCACTAGAAGCTCCACGAAATGTTGCTGATGCAGACGATGACTCCGATAAAGAAGACGAGTTACAGACTCAACGAGTAGCTGTAGGAGCTTGAAAAAATTCTATGGCAGATGCCATGTGGGATGATAGAAGCCATGTGGAATAATGGAAGTCAAGTCACTCTAGGGATTTAGATTTTTATTTATTTATAAATTATTTTATTATTTGAGATGAATAGTGATACTTTATTGCATTATATTTTATAGTTATTACTAGAATTTGCTTATCAATATTATATTATTTTTAATATACAATTATTAACAATAGTAATTTATACCCACCATTACCCCCACTAAATTATCCTACCAAATTATGTAACTTCATAATATTATCCATCATTATCCCACCAAATTATCCTACCAAATTATCCCAATTTAAGAATTACCCATCATTGTTCCACTAAATTATCCCAGTGTTAAAAAATTATCCCACTTTACTAATTATCTTAGTTCTACTTAAAAAGTTCTAGGTGACTAACCCCCCTTAGGAATTTCCAGAAATAAACATGTATGTCAAGAAAAGAAAAGAAAAAAAGAGTTAGGTTGTGAGACACTGAACTATCAGAGCAATTTAAAGTAACAAACATATGCTTTTCTTGCCTCATAAATTTTCAAATAAGAACACAGTTCTATTTTCATATGTAATATTTTGGGAAAATTGTGCCAATGCCTCAAAAGCAATATCTTCATGTGCTGTAACCCCTTCACTTTTTTCCATGTGGTTCAACCCTAAAAAGTATCACATCATGTGCTGCAGACCTCTTTTAGCAATTATTACCCACCAACTAAGCATAGAGAGAGCATAAAAAGTACAAAACCGTAAAATACTCTTACCTCATCTATTTTTTCATGTTAGGTCTAATGAGAGTTCATGTTAGGTCCAATTTCATGTTAGGTCTAATGAGAGTTCATATTAGGTCTAATTTCATGTTAGGTCTAATGAGAGTTCATGTTAGGTCTAATTTCATGTTATGTCTAATAATAGTTCATGTTAGGTCTAATTTCATGTTATGTCTAATAATAGTTCATGTTAGGTCTAATAATAGCTAATAATAGCTCACATTAGGTCTAATTTTAGTTCATGTTAGGTCTAATTTCAGTTCATATTAAGTCTAATAATAGTTTATGTTAAGTCTAATAATAGTTCATGTTAGGTCTAATTTTAGTTCATGTTAGGTCTAATAATAGTTCATGTTAAGTCTAATTTTAATTAATGTTATGCCTAATAATAGTTCATGTTAGGTCTAATAATAGTTCATATTAGGTCTAATTTCATGTTAAGTCTAATAATAGTTCATGTTAGGTCTAATTTCAGTTCATGTTAAGTCTAATAATAGTTCATGTTAGATCTAATTTCATGTTAAGTCTAACTCGATTCTTGTTAAGTCTAAATTCAGTTCATGTTAAGTCTAATAACAGTTCATGTTAGGTCTAATTTACTTCATATTAAATTCCTTTTAAGTCTAATTTCCTTCATGTTAAGTCTAATTTTTAATATTTTATTTACATAACATGAACTATTATTAGACTTAACATGAAGTATTATTAGACTTAACACGAACTATTATTAGACCTAACATGAACTATTATTAGACATAACATGAACTGAAATTAGACTTACATGAACTATTATTAGACTTAATATGGACTGAAATTAGACCTAACATGAACTCTCATTAGACCTAATAGGAAAGAATAGCGGAGATAAGGGCATTTTGGGGGTTTTACTTTTTATCCTCTCTCTACGCTTAGTTGGCGGGTATTAATAATTGCTAAAAGAGAGCTGCAGCACATGATGTGATATTTTTTGGGGCTAAATCACATGAGAAAAAAAATAAAGAGACTGCAGCACATGAAGATATTGCTTTTGGGAACTTAACACAATTTTCACTAATATTTTAGTAAAACATTAATCCTCTGTTTTCTTTATAACTGGAAAATGAATATGCAGACTTCCATCTTAAGTCCAACCTGAAACTGAAGCTGATGATTCTATCATTCTTCCATTAGGTACAAATTTAGACACAACCCGTACCTAAAAGTTAAGTGGAGAAAGTATGTATACTGAACGACTTCATCTAACTAATCCTCAAGTTAAACTAATGATAATATAACTACGGATATGTAGTTTGGCCTATAAAATTCCACGTCTTTTAAAACTTCAATGTAGGTAGGTCGAGGAGTTGAAAAAGTCGGTCTCCAGGGGAATAGTTCTTGTAGGGTAGATTCTTAGAAACATACAAATTATTAGTAAAAGGGTTAGTTGCAGATAGACCCTATCATATCCGCTGATTCGAATTTACTTCCCCACTGCTTTTGCTTTTGCATACTTGCACCCTGAGTGAATTTTCTTGGCTATTTTATGGTCAGAAAAAGAGAAAATTGCCGGTTTTCTTTTTTTTAATAGCTCTTTCACTCCTAGAATTTGCAGTACATTTAGCAGTACTTCTCTCTTTTGAGCCCCCCCACCCCCCTGTCAAATCAAATCTCTTACCTCAAAAAAATAGTCAAACAAAAGAACACTTGAAAATAGATGAAATTAGTTCTGACCTAGTTTTAAAGAGTTGTCAGACACATCGTCAGGATCTAAGTAGCGCAAACTATGCTTGATCATCCGGCAATTTGTATTTCTAATCTATTCATCATGCCAAGCTCATCTAATTATAAATTTTCGGGGAAAACGAGACTGTAATAATCATCCACCAAAATGCCCAAATGAGAACTACATACATACATATGAAGCGTCTAATCTGTATGGATATGTAACTAGTCATCTGAGCAAAGGACAATGAGCTAAAAACTACATCTCCGTCAAAAAGAATACATAAATTATCAAAAATAAAATGAAGTAAATAAAACAAAAAATCCATACTACCATCACGACCACCACCAATTCTACTCAGATACCTCAGGTATACTCTTCAAACTTGGCCTCCAGTGATTACTATGTTCTTGATTCATGATTTCCCTCAATAATACTCGCTCAATGCTCAAACCTTTCCTCGATAATTCTTCAAGTTGTTTCTTGGTGATCTTAATCCTCACTTGATCATTCAAAATGATAGGTTGTCTTGCTACAGATGGCTCCTTTCTCTTCGAATACTCTCTAAAACTTGTTGATGTAGTTTCATAATAATCGCAGTCTTCATCGTCATCGTCGACCCATGTTGAGACTCGTTGGAGCTTCAAGCAATTACCCATTTCTAGTCTTAATCTGCTCCTTTCTTTCCCCTTATAAAAAGCCTTGAAGGCTTTCTTTAAAAAAAAGCTTAGACTAGTATGGTAAAATTCACTTACTACTGAATACATGAGATATATTGCAGGCGGAATAAAAAAGCTTAGACTAGTATGGTAAAATTCACTTACTACTGAATACATGAGATATATTGCAGGCGGAATATAGGATGAGGAGAGGATGTTGTTGTCACTCATCACTACGGATCCCTGCTAATAACAATTGAAGTCTAGCTTCTAAATCGGAGAGATCAAGAGTATCAAACTACAAAGTTTATGAGCTGACACTCAGCTCATAGCCTCTAAAATAATCGAGGCTTTTTTTAGAACAATGGTACTCTAAATTGTTGGATCTGAGATATAAGCCTAGAAGGGCGTGAATAGGATTGCCTATTATTTTTCAATAGCATAAATAATATGCAGCCGAAATTAAACAGACAATTATAAAACAATAAGTAATGCAATAATCACATGAATAATCACTACCAGAACACATGAGAATTTTACAGTGGTTCCAATAAACAATCCTACATCCACTCTTCCTTCTCGCGAGTGATTTCCTCACAACATGAAAGTTCTCCTGAAACACAAACCTGATACAATATGCTTACAATACTGAAATCCTAGTTTATCCTAAACTAGTCGTCTAACCTAAACTCTTCATACACAAGTATCATTTGCCATAACTAGCGACCAATTCCTCAATTATCCCCAGCTGGAGTGCGCCTTAAATCCTCAATTCACCTCGGCTTAAGTATGCATAAAATAAGTTTAATACAAATAAACAGATAACAATTAAGTGCAAACTAGAATGATCTTACAGTCTTTTTATTAGGATTATTCTCCAAAAGATTGAAGCGTATATCTAGATGAATGATGATGAGATTGAGATCCTAAGACAGCACTCCTCGAATGGTAGATAATCAGATGATGAATAACGACAACAAGGATACTTCTGAAAAGTCTGAGCAAGATCTTTTCTCCTAGATTGAAAATCTCTCTCTCTCTCTCTCTCTCTCTCTCTCTCTCTCTCTCTCTCTCTCTCTCTCTCTCATTTTGGCCAGAAGCCTCTCTAAAAATCGCGAGGAAAGATTAAAAAATCACAAATCTTGCGATCCACCATCAATGGTCGAACTTCACCAAAGATGTTCAAGTTATCACCATCAATGATTTTCATCTATGGATATTTTCATCATCAATGATCTCTTCAATCATCAATATTCAATAGTTCAGTGAAGAGCTTTTTGAAAAGTTATTATAACAACGATTTTAATAGCCGAGTCAAAAATTATGACTAGTGCAAATTTCATCCCCAGTGTATGTTGTCAGCCTACTTCTAATTGTTTCGATGTTGTTTCGCTAACACATTCATGCCTCGAGCAATACATCTTCTAATTGAGTTATATTTGTTTCTGTAGATTCGTGACAAAGAGATGGGCACTTGGATATTGTAGGCATCGAAAATTGCCTATAGGTCTCCACGAACAGCTCAGTGTTAAGAAATGACGATGAACGTCACCATCTGGTTCACAGAAGCTGGATTGATGTCGGTAAACGCTTGAAGTAAACCGACGAACTACGTGAAACAACGGAACTTCGGAATGATGAAGATATGAACCGATCGGGAACCTCGTATCGTTCACAAACGGTGAAATACCCTTCGTGTCTCATTTATTCCACGGATGATTTAATCATTGGAGCTTATAGAACTCCCCGTCGGCTTTCCAACGCACTTTGAATCACTCAAATCCGAGTTCGGACGAAGAATTTACAGCGGAAACAATCAAACAGGCATAACACGGCGTCTCAGCTTGAATGAGACACCCCGAGGTGTCTCGGCCCACCCGAGACACCCTAGGGTGTCTCGGCCCAGTTTGAGACACCCTGGGGTGTCTCCAACGCAGAAGTGGCTTTTTAGGTGGTTTTAACCGCCCGGACGTCCGTAAAACCTATAAATAGAGCCCCCGGGTCCTCATTTTTCCAGATCTGGAATCTTGGAAGATTAGGCGAAGCCCTGCCGGATTGAAGACTGAAGGTGCACGGATTTCAGAGAGGAGGAGGAGAGATCGGATCGAGTTCTTCAACGCAAGAGAGAGATTCGTCAGATCTACAGTTTCCCGGATCCGTTCCTTAGGATTATCCCGTTGCGGTAATCTTAAGAAGAGTGATTATCTCGCTTCGCCGAGATAAGAGCTACAGTTTAACTTTTTATTTCATTCGAGTTTATTGTAACGACTAAAGTTGTAATAGATTCGATAGCAATGAAAACATCAACTTTCACCGCAAACAGATGTGCTCTAACATGATTTTCACTTTTGATGTTTTTTTGGAATTAGCTGCGATTAAGTTATCGTCTTGCTCTCTACACTTCCGAGCTTGATTCTAGTTTCTTGTAACCTATATATAATATCGCAAACAAATACTAGGCTTCAAAGTATGTTATTAATCAAACTAAGTCCATTGTAGGGACACAGTCCTAGCACAAACCCCAAGTATCGTTAATAAGTATTTAATGAAACATCTGCAAATATAGAAACAAAATCCTCCAAAATTTTAATTAAGACTTACAGGGCCAGCATATTCTTAATTTAGGGGGGAAACTATTCATAGTAATTTTATTTTAAGTCAACAAGAGCCGCTGACAATTAATTTCTATATATTAGAAATGTTATTGGTCTATTTAAACTGAGCGTATTTACTAATTCATGTTATGCCTAATAATAGTTCATGTTAGGTCTAATAATAATTCATGTTAGGTCTAATTTCATGTTAAGTCTAATAATAGTTCATGTTATGTCTAATTTCAGTTCATGATATATCTAATAATAGTTCATGTTAGGTCTAATTTCATGAGTCTAAATTCAGTTCATGTTAAGTCTAAATTCAGTTCATGTTAAGTCTAATAACAGTTCATATTAGGTCTAATTTACTTCATATTAAATTCCTTTTAAGTCTAATTTCCTTCATGTTAAGTCTAATTTTTAATATTTTATTTACATAACATGAACTATTATTAGACCTAACATGAACTATTATTAGACCTAACATGAACTATTATTAGACTTACATGAACTATTATTAGACTTAATATGAACTGAAATTAGACCTAACATGAACTCTCATTAGACCTAACAGGAAAGAACAGCGGAGGTAAGGGTATTTTGGGGTTTTTACTTTTTATCATCTCTCTACGCTTAGTTGGCGGGTAATAATTGCTAAAAGAGAGCTGCAACACATGATGTGACACTTTTTGGGGCTGAATCACATGAGAAAAAAGTGAAGAGGCTGCAGCACATGAAGATATTGCTTTTGGGATCTTGACACAATTTTCAATAATATTTTAGTAAAACATTAATCCTCTGTTTTCTTTATAACTGGAAAATGAATATGCAGACTTCCATCTTAAGTCCAACCTGAAACTGAAGCTGATGATTCTATCATTCTTCCATTAGGTACAAATTTAGACACAACCCGTACCTAAAAGTTAAGTGGAGAAAGTATGTATACTGAACGACTTCATCTAACTAATCCTCAAGTTAAACTAATGATAATATAACTGCGGATATGTAGTTTGGCCTATAAAAATTCCACGTCTTTTAAAACTTCAATGTAGGTAGGTCGAGGAGTTGAAAAAGTCGGTCTCCAGGGGAATTGTTCTTGTAGGGTAGATTCTTAGAAACATACAAATTATTAGTAAAAGGGTTAGTTGCAGATAGACCCTATCATATCCGCTGATTCGAATTTACTTCCCCACTGCTTTTGCTTTTGCATACTTACACCCTGAGTGAATTTTCTTGGCTATTTTATGCTCAGAAAAAGAGAAAATTGCCGGTTTTCTTTTTTTTTTAATAGCTCTTTCACTCCTAGAATTTGCAGTACATTTAGCAGTACTTCTCTCTTTTTAGCCCCCCACCCCCCCTGTCAAATCAAATCTCTTACCTCAAAAAAATAGTCAAACAAAAGAACACTTGAAAATAGATGGAATTAGTTCTGACCTAGTTTTAAAGAGTTGCCAGACACATCGTCGGGATCTAAGTAGCGCAAACTATGCTTGATCATCCGACAATTTGTATTTCTAATCTATTCGTCATGCCAAGCTCATCTAATTTTAAATTTTCGGGGAAAACGAGACTGTAATAATCATCCACCAAAATGCCCAAATGAGAACTACATACATATATATGAAGCGTCTAATCTGTATGGATATGTAACTAGTCACCTGAGCAAAGGACAATGAGCTAAAAACTACATCTCCGTCAAAAAGAATACATAAACTATCAAAAATAAAATGAAGTAAATAAAACAAAAAATCCATACTACCATCACGACCACCACCAATTCTACTCAGATACCTCAGGTATACTCTTCAAACTTGGCCTCCAGTGATTACTATGTTCTTGATTCATGATTTCCCTCAATAATACTCGCTCAATGCTCAAACCTTTCCTCGATAATTCTTCAAGTTGTTTCTTGGTGATCTTAATCCTCACTTGATCATTCAAAATGATAGGTTGTCTTGCTACAGATGGCTCCTTTCTCTTCGAATACTCTCTAAAACTTGTTGATGTAGTTTCATAATAATCGCAGTCTTCATCGTCATCGTCGACCCATGTTGAGACTCGTTGGAGCTTCAAGCAATTACCCATTTCTAGTCTTAATCTGCTCCTTTCTTTCCCCTTAGTTATTTGCTTTGTAATAATTGGTAAGTTTTGAGGAATAGTTGAAGGCTAGCTTTATAGAGAGAGAGGGAAGAGAACAAGTCAGCAATCAAATTGACACGTAGGATTAAATGTCATGATCGGTAAATAGTTAGAGAGAAGCAGTCAGCGACCTCTGTTGATCTCTCTTTGCTGAGTCACCGACGTGTAATGAAATTTGAGCCAATGGAACGATTTAGCGGAGCCATATGATCTAAATTCAAGGCTAGGAGGCTAAAGTAGGTGATAATGTTACATCATCTCTCTTCT